GCCCCAGATCTAAACTCTGATGCTAGCGTGTGTTAATGTACCTGTGGAGCAAAGTGCTAGAAAGCCAAATGAGGTTCCACTGAGAATTGAACTCAGATCGCTGGATTCAGAGTCCAGAGTGCTAACCATTAGAATATATTACGACCTTAACCTAAAAATTGAATTTACTATTTTAGAGAATATTAAATAGTAAAAGCCATGTTAACATGGCTTAATCTCACCAACACAAGTCTTACCTTTCCAAAGGTTGATGCAGAAGTAAAGTTTCTTTAATGAAGTTAAGTATTTCTTGTAAAGTTTTCAAGCCGTTAGAGAGAGTCAAGTTCTGTCATTTCATTCTTACCCATAGCTGTTTTTTTTCTAAACAGACACTGATCCCACAAGAGGAGGAATTTAACTGCAAACGCTCTCAGACGTATCAGTCCTGCTTTTCCCGGATCAGTGTTCATAGTTTAGTCTGTGGTGTCAATCCTTAAGCCTCTTTTATCAATATAATCATTCCTGTGCACTTTTCAGGGTCCAGGTCATTACAACCTTTTTATCATCAATCAAATAAAAATGACACATCATCTGGATTAATAGAAAGAAAGAAAAACCCAAAGAAAACTATTAAAAATATTTTATTTATCATGCACAGACTGCTGGACAATAGAGGGCACTAAAACACTGTGTTCCCTGAGCCACACCAAAGTTTGAAGTGTCAATGTGGTAAACCAAATCTGGTTTAGTGTGGGGAAATTCCTGACAAGTTGCAGCAATCAAATTGCAATTCACAGGGAACAAATTTAAAAACTAACAGACAGAAAAAATGACACCGTTACAAAATACGAACACAACAGCCTCATAATGACAGATTTAACCTTCTAAGACCTGAACTCTTCCATGGCATGCTTTTTTGATTTCTCTTTGATATTTGGGCTGATTGGGACCCGATGAATGTAAAAACAGAGGATTACCAGATTATGTTTTTCACCTGATTTTTGTTTCTTAGAAAAATAAGAGCCACATATGAGGATATTCATTTTTAGAGCAAAATTGAGTATAAATACAAAATGTGATGTCCACATATGTGGACGCCAGGTCCTAGGAGGTGAAAGAAAAAAAAGCTATATACTGTTACATTAATGTGAAAACATATTCCTGATGTTGGACTAAGATGATACAGATGATTACTATTTGCAATTATCAGAGGGACAAAAGCTATGGATTGTTTAATATACATTTTCCATCTTGTGATCAGATTACTGTACAGTACAATCTCTGTTGTCTCTTCACATTTTCTTGTCTCGATGCATGCTCAGTCATCCAGGTATGTAAATCTCAAAAGGTTGATTGTGATCATCTGGACAAAACTTTTCATCACTCATCCAAGTGACTTCTTCAGTATTTTGGGATTCACAGTGGTGCTAGTTTCGGTCATTGTGCAAATGCACTGTTTATAAGGTTGGGGAAACCTGCAGCCAGCTGAGACTGGAGAAGTCACTTGGATGAGTGACGAAATGTTGCTCCCACTGAAAACGCTACATCCAGATGAATAGAATCAACTTTTGCATTTCCCTCTTAGGATAAATCCTTTCCCACTAACCCCACAACATGAAAGTAATTATTCTCCTGTGTGTGCTCTCATGTGCCTCTTTAAATCCCCTAATTGTAAAAATCTTTTATTACAAATGTCACAGCCAAATGGTTTGTCTCCTGTGTGAATTATCATGTGCCTGTTAAGATTTTTGTTATAATTAAACCGTTTACCACAAAGATCACAAGCATACGGGCTCAGCCCTGTGTGGATGCTCCTGTGTCTCTTCAGAACACCTTGTTGTGAAAACCTTTTACTACAAAATTCACAGCTGAATGGTTTCTCTCCTGTGTGGATTCTTTTGTGTGTCTTCAGATTGCCCACTCGATTAAATCTTTTACCACAAATGTCGCAACCAAATGGCTTCTCACCCGTGTGAACACTCAGATGTGTCTTGAAATGAATCCTCTGAGTAAATCTTTTACCACAAACATTACAATCGAAAGGCTTCTCTCCCGTGTGGACACTTCTGTGTCTCTTCAGATCCCCCAGTTGTAAAAATCTTTTACTACACACACCACAACTAAAAGGTTTTTCACCTGTGTGGATTCTCATGTGCCTATCCAGACTATACTGCTGTCTAAATCTAGTTTCACAAATGCTACAAGTAAACGGTTTTTCCCCTGTGTGGACTCTCATGTGAGTCTTAAGATTTGCATTTTGATTGAATCTTTGTCCACAAACACTGCAGCCAAATGGTTTCTCTCCACCGTGGACTTTTGTCTGCGATTCAACACTTTCCTTCACTCTATTAACCAAACAGCTGGAAGTTTTTTTTCCTGAATGATGTGTTGAATAATGTCTCTGAAGACACCCTTTGTACTGAAAGCGTTTACCACACTCAGAGCAGCTGAGCGGTTGTTTGGCAGAGATATGTCCCACATTATCACTCTTTACACCTGAGTCATGTTTCATGCTCTCCTTCCAATCACTACTTTCACTTTCAGGTCCAGACAAAGGCTCTTGCCAATCATCATCACCCTCATCAACAGTGACTTCATTCTCGAAATAGTCTGAAGCTTTTCCATCAGTATTTGGTTGTAAAAGACTGTTTAGATATGAAGTATTGGTAGGTTCTGGTCCTCCACAGAGCTCTCCACCAGGTTCTCCTTTTATCTGCTTGTGTGAGCAGCTGGCTGGAGTCGGTGTCTCTTTGTTATCTTCAGCTGGTTCTTGATGAAGCTCTAAGACTTGAGGTTTCTCTTCCTCATCTTCAGTCTTCAAAGTAACAGCACCCAGACCATTAAGCTGCTCTCCTTCCTGACCAGTCCATAGTTCCTCCTGCTCCTCCTTTATGTGGATGTGGCCTATGTCCTGCTGGTCCAGACTGGGGATCGAGGGAACCTCTTCTTTAACTGGCAACATCTGCTGGACATCTGCAGAAAACACACATTACAGGTGCATCACAGGAAGCTGGGAGCTATGCATTTTTTTCGAGAATTCTAGTTCTAAGTCAGGGATGTCAAACTTAGGGCCAATGGACCACATCCAGCCCACGATACAATTATATCTGGCCCGCAAGATAATTTCATATGTCAATTATTAATTTTCTTTATCGTGTGAAAAAAACATTTAAATGCAGAAGTTCTTTATTGACAGAAAGTTGAGTGTTACAGGTCTGGGCTACTTAGGATAAAAGTGGACTGTATGTGGCCCCTGATATAAAACACGTTTGACACCCCTGTTCTACGGTATTACACATCAAGACATAACAAAAACAAAAAATCATCTGCTCTCTACAAGGTTCTAAAATCATTTAAGCACAGCCTTCTAACATATGACACAATGTCATTATTTACTGAACAAAAACTAAGCCAAACTGCAGAAGCAGTGTGTTTAAGCTGTGTGTGGAAAAACTAGCTACATCCTATATGATTCAACAGCTTGTAGAAACAATGTTAGCACAAAAACAGTAAAGTACAGTGGTCCCTCGTTTATCGCGGTAGTTACGTTCTAAAAAATAACCCGTGACAGGTGAAATCTGCGAAGTAGCCAACTTTTTTTATTTATTTTTTTTACAATTAGTATAGATCTTTTAAGGCTGTAAAACCCCTCACTACACGCTTTATACACTTTTCTCAGGCAGGCATGAACATGTTCACACTTTTCTCTCTTGTTTAAACACTCTCAAAGTTCAAACCTTCGTAGAAAAATAAGTCCAGTATTATAGAATGAAACCAAAGGCACCCGCGGCTGCCTTTGACAGTGAAAAACGTTTTGTCTACATTGTTGTGTTTTTGATCGAAGACTTTGACAAGCCGAATGCATTCTGTATGGTACAGGAGACACGGTACGAGATTGATTGACAATGGTCTAGAGCCAATCAGGACGCAGAACACAATGCGCTGTGCACATTTAGTAATGATCAGTTACTACCGACTGCATTACTGCATTTTGTGCAATTTCCTTACACTATTTTTCTAGTATATCTAATTCACATTTTCTTTCTGAGCCTAGTGCTGTGAATTTCCCCAGAGTAGCATTAATAAAATCTTTATTTATCTATAACTATGCATTCTCTTCAGTGAGAAGTGGTCGAGAACATAAACCAAAGCACATCGTCTCACACACTGTGTTAGTGCACTAAGTAAAGAAATTACTCACACTGGAATCACACAGCTAATCCTGGCTCATAAATTTCAGTTTCATGGACCATAAAGACAAGCTCCAAGTGTTTCTGGAGCTTTACCTTCTTTACTAACTACAGATTTTATCCTCTTGTCCATGAACCTCTGAAGTGGTTACCAAATACCTGAATACAGCATCATTACACACTAATTGTTGTGTTTTATAATTTAGTTTCTGCTGTTTGATCAAGAGAATGAGTTACATGTTAATGAAACAAATGAACGTCACCCACCTGCCTGTGCTTCTCCCAAACCTGATGTAGCTGATGCAGATACAAGGGGACACAACCTGAGACCTCTGGGGTCGTCCGGTTGGAGGATCTTTAATCGAGACATTGCAACTCCACTTGTGATTTTCAGGTGCAAGCTGCAATGACACAAATGAGCCACCCGAACATTTACTCATTCATTCTCAGGCAGTAGAGGGGCTCAATTACCAATCAGAAGTTCGATGGATATATCCATGACTCCTCCGGTCTGTGCACCAAACTATTAACTCTGTGTTATTCTTGGTGCATCTGTCAAAGTGCAAATGTTAGATTAAACTGAGATGATCTGGCAAGAGTTGCAAAACGTTATGAATTCACTGTATCACTGTTACTGCCAATACCTTAGAGCAGCTCTGGGTCCTTTGACAGGTTAACTTTTAAAAATTAAATTCTAGTCCAGGTAGCAGGTCTATATTTTTGTGTAAAAGCCCTCTTCTGCTGGCCGTATCCATGACCGTGTGGCTGCTGACTCTACTGGGAATAAAGTACCTATCCAGCAGAAAACAAGTGAGTCCTCTTCAGCTATGTCCCGGTGGAGGAGGTGACCCCAACGTGTATTTCTTTTCCTCCTTCATGCTTTTGCTCGTTTGGCGGCCACAGCTGACGCCCGGTTTTATTTATCGTGCTAAATTAGAACTGTTACCGTCTCAGTGTCTCAAAACCTCGTTATACCATAAAAACGATTCTAATTATTATTCGGCACCGCAGGCTTCCCTGGTGAGAGGATGAAAACTCGTCTGGAAGCTCCGCACAGTCTCAGGACGGACAGCTTCCTGCCCGTCAGTCCAACATTTTTTTGTTCCCCTTTACAACACGGTATAATAAAAGGTTCCTAGAGACGTTTTTTTCCTGACGCAAAAAGATTCCTGAGGAATGAACGAAGAAATAATTGTTAAAGTTTAAAAAGTAAAATTAACCTCCAGTTCCGATTCATGCAAAACAGTCTTTGTGGCGAAAGAAATCCTAAGAAGTCATTTTAGTTTGAGGACAACATACAGCCAGATCAGGTTCACTGTTTTTCATTTATTTTCTGTTTTGTGTCTTATCTACTTTAAATATAAGCTGAACAAAATATATTAAATAAATAGTTAACTGATGAATAGTTTTCCAATTTCAGGCTGTTTGACATCATTACAAAGAAATGTTACGTCAGTATCTTTGGCTGGCCATCGGGCAACTGTGTTTGTCTCTTGCTTTAACTCTTTATCATTATTTGAACCCTCATGCAAAAAATTCCTAAGCAAGTGAAGTAATCTTTGTCTGCACAGCAGTCATCAAAACAGGGTGAAATTCTCTAAATACTAAAGAGTAGTGCTTCCTTTATTACCTCCTTTATCTTTATAAACTGGACCATCCTTTATGCTTCATCATCTGAAACATATATCATGGGAGACAAGTGACAATCTTTTAAAAATATATATTTATGTTTTGTACTGTGGAAAAAATATGTTCTAATTATGAAATATGCTTCAGTTACATCCATGTCCTTCACAGTATGATATAGTTAACCTTTGACCTTGAGGAAACATTAGTTCTCTAACTTTGGTCTCAGGTTGAGGCAGGTGAGCAAAGGTCCTAACGCACCTCATGAAGAAACAGACACTGGCAACTAAAACATCAACTGCCCCAAGTTCATAACTGATCAGGACAAATACGAACAGTTGAGAACATTTTATTATTTTGTGAACATTCAAACTTCCTCCAAAAGTTGCAATTTAAAAGACAATCATGTAGCTAAAAATTAAACTGAGTCTTTTCTTCAATGACAGAAAGACTATCTGCTTCCAGAACCTCCAATAACGACAGGTGGTCAGTTTTCTGAAAACCACTGAAAGAAGATTATACTTAAGCATTTCCAAACTGGTTCCCTCGGCAGAATTAGTGTAATATTGCATATTTAAGACTAGTTCCAAATAATGTCATGAAATTATATGATGTGATTAACACTAGAACCATAGTGGGGAGGAGGCAGATTGAACTGGTACCTGCTTCACCGTGCCTACGCCATTTTTAAAATACCAAAGGATCAAAATAAACCCCATTTGGTGGCTCTAGTGGTAAGTGTGAGAGTGTTTTCGAACTCATGATGAAAGCAAATTTGGACACAATAACAACTTAAGATTAAAAAAAAGAAAAATAATTTAGATGCAAGTTATGTGCTAACATAAAAATTCATCATTACTGACATTAATGACTTTCTATAGCACACTGAATCTCCTCTTGTGCAAATCTTTTACTGCAAGCACTACCATTTGAGTGCTTTTGGTTCTTGGTGTGCTTTAAAATTTGTGTTTTGATTAAACTCTCATCCACATAAACCAAACAGCTTGAAGCCCTTTCACCTACATGACTTGTCATCTTGAGTTGAGCAAACTCGAGAGCAGGAAAAGGATTTTTTTTACATCCCAGACTCAGGAGCCCTGATCTCCTGCTAACCATTTTCTTCGGTTTCAGGTTCAGAATCTGACAATGGTTCCTGCCAGTCACCAACATCATCATCATCTTCATATTTATCATCAATACTGACAGTTCCAGCATTATGTGGCTGTAAATGACTTTTGAGATCTGTGTTTTTGCCTGGTTCTGGTCCCCCACAGTCCTCCCCATCTGTTTTCTGTTCAGCTGGGACACTGGGTGGAGGCTTTGTGTCAATATTGTCTTGATGAAGCTGTGAGAACTTGGATTTCTCCTCCTCCTCATCTTCACTCTTAACAGGAACGGCAGTAAATGGGTACATGGTGATTTTAACCTCCTCCATCAAATATAACTTCTTGTCTTCGCAACCAGCCAGAAGTTCCTTCTGCTCCTCCTTTACATGGAGGGGCTCTGGATCCTGGTCCTCTTGGATACAGGGAGTCTCTTCTGTGTGCCCGACATCTGCAGGAAAAACAACCAAACAACAACCAAATATTGACTAATTCAAGAAGTTTGGAAATAACTGGTAAAATCGTAATTCAATTCTGATTTTATCACCCTGTGAAAACAAGTTTCAATATGCATATTTTAATGTGCACTTCTATTCAGTTTATATTATATTATTTATATAGTGTCAAACAGTCACCTTAAGGCACATCATACTGTAAGGTAAAGACCCGGCAATGACAGAGAAAATGCCAACAATCAGACAACCTCCTATGAGCAAGAACTTACCATCAGTGGGAAGGAAAAACTCCCTTTTAACAGGAAGAAACTTCTGGCAGAACCAGGCTCAGGGAGGGGCGGCCATCTGCCGCAACTGGTTGGGTCAAAATGTTTTTCAGAATGCTGCTTAGGCCCAGTCTTTCAGAAAATAATAGCTGACACACCCTTCAGCACATCCATCTACTGTTCTATTAAGCCTCATGAGAAATGATCTCTGTGGAAGGGAACCTGTCAAGAAGCTATTGTTAATGAAGGGAAACAGGGAGAGGCTGAGGTATCAACATTTACACAAGAACTGGACTGAAAATTAGTGGCAACAGTTCTGATGGAGGGAATTCGAATTTGATCAAATCATCAGCAGAAAATACAGAGGCGGTCAGGAGAGAGGTACAATGGTGAGAGTCTAGAGCCATCTGTAAAACACGGTGAAGCTTCTGTCTATGGTTTGGAGCTGCATTACAGCCATTACCCAGACCTCAACACCACTGGAGCGCTGTGGGATCATCCTGGCAGAACAGAGCAAAAGCCAGAAACATGCAAAGAAGCTTTGACTGTTCTTTGCCTGAAGAACTATTCCTGAAGACTACTTAAAGAAATTACAGAAAGCTTCCTCAGAGAGTTCAAGCTGTGTTAAAGAATAAAGATGGTCACGCCAAGTACTGACTTTCAAGCCTGTAAGAATTGTTCAAACTCTGGTTTTGTCTCATATTTTCATGTATGTTCGCAGATATTTCAATAAGCCCCTGCACACATGTTCAATTTTTCTAGCAAAGTATAAAGAAATTGACTTCTGCACAGTACTGGACATGAAATACATTTCTTTTTTTCCCTAAGAAATCTAGCTTCCCACATCTAACACAATTTAATATGATGGTATTTGCATGTTTCATATTTTAGTATGTATATCAAGGAATAAATATTTACAATTACAATTTAAATGTGACCTCAAAATTCAGAATTTACTCAGTGGCCACCTATGCTCCACGACATGAGTAAAAGCGTTTTTTAAAGCACTTTGTCAACCAGTGGCATCATGTCCATGTAGCAGGTCTTGGCAGTGCAAATGTTATGCAGTTCTCTCAGAAGCCTGACTGCAATATGCAAAAGTTTAAAAATTCGTGAAATGTAAGAATTTTGGAACGGTTCCTCAATTCTCATCTCCAGTTAGAGCTAATATTGGAAAAAATCCATATGACACCCAAACATACTGGAGACAGTGCTATTACAAAGTGATTTAATATACTTGATGTACAGTAAAAATTGTTTACACAAATGTGTGTCACTTACCTACACTTCTTTTCCTCTGCACCATTTCAGACGTGGCTGGTACCAGTTTTGGGGACTTTGAACCCACGGCGGTGGCTTCCACCAGGCGAACGCTCTTTTCTCCAGTGTGGACGCTCATGTGCCTCTTCAAAATCCCAGATTGTGTAAACCTTTTACTGCAAACATTACAACCGAATGGTTTCTCTCCTGTGTGGACTCTCATGTGTGCTGTAAGATTTCTCTTACACTTAAATGTTTTATTACACTTATCACAAACAAACGGCCTGTCTCCTGTGTGGATGCTTGCATGTCTCTTTAAAATAGCTTGCTCTAAAAATCGTTTACCACAAACGTCACAGCTATATGGTTTCTCTCCTGTGTGGATTCTGATGTGCGTCCTAAGATTTCTATTACAATTAAAGCTTTTGCCGCAAACATCACAAATGAACGGTTTTTCTCCTGTGTGGACTCTCATGTGTCTCTTAAAATGGTTCCTTTGCCTAAATTTTTTACCACAGACAATACAGCTGAAAGGTTTCAAACCAGTGTGGACGGCCTTGTGCCGGTTAAGATCGCCGAGCTGTGCAAAACGTTTACTACAATCACTGCAACCAAAGGGTTTCTCTCCTGTATGGATTCGCATGTGTCTATCGATGGTATACTGATGTCGAAAGCTTTTTCCGCAAACGTTACAACTAAATGGTTTTTCTCCGGTGTGGATTCTCATGTGTGCCTTCAGATTTCTTTTACTGGTACATTTTTGTCCACAGAGATCACAGTTCAGTGGGTTCGCTTCTCTTTGATTTCTGGCCTGTGATGCAGTTTTTTGCTTTCCTCTAAAACACGCACTATTAACCAAACAGTTCGAAGCCTTTTTTGCTGAACGGCGTGCCACATGCCTCTGAAGAGACTGCTTGTAAACAAACTGTTTATCACACTCAGAGCAGGTAAATTTCTTTTTGGCGGTTTTACGGTCCACATTACCTTTTACTACTGACTCAAGTGATTTCTTCTTCTTTAAACCCTTCTCATTGTTTTCAGTCCCACATC